CCTGGTCACAGCCGACAAATGGTGTTCTAAAGTCAGCTGTGGGTCCAGGAGGACTCCCAAATTATGAACCCTGTCTGAGGGGCGTACTGTTTGACCCCCCCAGCCTGAGAGATGGAAAACTTGGCGAATTAGTGGGAGAGAAACACACCAGCCACTCGGTTTTGTCTGGATTGAGTGCAAGCTTGTTAACCCCCATCCAGACCCTAACAGCCTCGAGGCACTGGCACATCACGTCAACCGCTTCACTGAGTTGGGATGGGGCGGACAGATACAACTGTGTATCGTCCGCATACTGATGGTATTTTATCCCGTGCTGTCGAATGATCTCACCCAGCTGCTTCATGTAGATATTAAACAGGAGGGGGGACAGGACAGGACCGAACCCTGCGGCACCCCGTAATTCAGGGGCCTAGGGGTCGATCTCTGCCCTCCGACCAACACCGACTGCGACCTGTCCGAGAGGTAAGAGGAGAACCACCGTAGATGGGACTTACGCCTCAGAGATGTAATGCTGATTTTGTTATTAGGTCCTGCTTCCCTAGTGGGGAACATTGCTTCCAACTTCCAGAGTCTCTGGAATGCTAACTGGTGTTGTTAGAATTGTAGAGGTCACCAGGTCATTAGCTGCTCCACCCATAGGTACAGTGGCCAGTAATTGAATTCTAACTAAAAGAGTTTATATTTTTGTTCATTTGCTGGCCCAGTTTGAAGAGAGAGAAAGAGGGCTTAGCATATCGACTGAGTTAAATATATTCTCCATTGTTATTCTGCCAATTTCTTCCTTTGTTCGCAGTAATTATACAACAAAACTTCAGTTATGTCCAAGCAGGACATTACAGTTACCACACCTGTCTAAAACAATTTCTATTTCTGGCTTATTTTAGTACTGAAAAGCAGTTGGGGAGTTGACATAATGGGAAATTGTGATTAACTGAAAACTGTGACAAAGAGGGAATAGTTATTGAAAAGACAGAGCATGAGATAAGATGGATGGCCCATAAATGAAACGAACAAACAAACATGATTACAGAGCTTCTGCATGTTGTGGCTTATTAAATTGATTAATACATCCTTACAAAACCAATAAATCTTACCCTAAACTCACTTTTAGGTTTTTCGTCCAGAGAAAAGATGCATCTTCTCTAGAGCAGGGATCTCCAGCCTTGGCAACTTTAAGCCTGGCAGACTTCAACTCCCAGAATTCCCTGGCTGAGGAAGTTGCCAAGGTTGGAGACCCATGCTCTAGAGTAATTTCTCAATTTGAACACCTAATGAGGAATGCTAGTGGAATGAAGTGTGGAACGTGCCACCTGTCAGGATAACCCCAAGGAAAAACAGAAAATTCCTTGCTCCCTCTTCATTTTGCCCTATGGTTACAAAGGTCTTTGAGAAAAATTATGAGGACAATGCTGCAGCTGAGAATGAAGATGTGATTTGGGGATCAGGATTGTCTTAGCTTAGAAAAATAGCTTAATACCTCATCACAAATTTCACTTGTCCCATCTCCTTTGGTGGCTGCTTCTTTGGCGGCTGCTTCTTTGGCGGCTGCTTCTTTGGTGGCTGCTTCTTTGGCGGCTGCTTGTTTGGTGCCTGCTTCTTTGGTGGTTTTTGGTTTAAGAGCTGCCTCTTTACTGGCTGTCTCTTTGACAGTTTTCCCTTTGGTGTCTTTTTTTCGGCCCTTTTTCACTGTTCCTTCCAGATCTGAGCCTTTCTATAAAATACAATTAATAATCCTTCAATTTAAGACATGAATGATCTTTTGTAAAATAACTCTCAGGCATTAAGCCCTGATATAAATCTCATTTCAAAGCTTGGCTAGTTGTGTGTGTGTGTGTGTGTGTGTGTGTGTGTGTTGGGGAGTGGATCTTGCCTAGCACCTCAAATATTCTCCCGAGGGAAACTCACCTGCTCTCATCTTTGTTCATCCTTTGATGGCTGTTTCACAGATTCCTGCTTCTTATGGTTTATAAATATTAGAAATGAATAAAACACAATAATAACAAGATTTGAAAGGCTGAATGGCAATTTATAAGATAATGGAGCTGTCTAGTCTAGTCACAGCATTGTCAAAGTAACAAAAAAGATTTAAAAACAGCAATAAAAAGCTAATGCACAGCTAGGATGAAAAAGGCAAGTAAGATAAGGAAACTAATGTGGGAGGATGAACACAATGGGCAAAAAAACTATTTTTAATTTTCACTCCACAGGACAAATCTGATTTGTTAGGTGCCTATAATATCCTCCTGTTGTAGATGAAACACATTTGAAATAAGATGAACTTTATACACAGGATGCTAACTGCAGGCTTTGGAAAACAAAGCAACAATAGAAATGAATATGGCCCTTTAGAGGGGGAAAAGTTAGTTATTTCTGCCTTAAACTATTATATATGTCAACAGAATTTTATTGCTGTTATATATTACTTTCAAACATGTGTATATATTAACTTCAGATCAGAGCAATGGTCTTCTACAGATCCTAAGTTGAATATTTAAAACCAAGGTTTGTTAAAGAAAGCATTCTCGGTTTCTAAAGAAATTACTCTAAGTTTCTTCGCTGGTATCTTTGATTCTCAGTATACCTGCAAAGTATCTCATCTGGTGCCAATCAGGGCTGTGTGATAGTTTTAAAATATATAAACAATTAGGAAGTTAAATGCAATTAAATGAGGTGCTAACCTTAGAATCAGCTGAATCAGGACTTTACAGCCCTCTCTAAACAGTTTCACAGAGTCAGCATATTGCTCCCAACAATTTGGGTCCTAATTTTATTGACCTCAGAAGGATGGAAGGCTGAATTAACCCTGAGCCTGGTGAGATTTCAACTGCCAAATTGCAGGCAGCCTGCAGTCAGCAGAAATAGCCTGCAGTACGGCATTCTAACCACTGTGCTACCACGGCTCTTAAAAATGGCTCTATAAAAATGCTTTTGTATCCTAGGAAATCTGAGAGGCATTCTTAGCAAATAGAAATGATGGATTGCCTGTATTATATTGTGATTGCTGCCAAAGAATGGGACAGTAAGTGGTTCAAAGAATATGAAATAAAGATGGATGGAATATAAAGGAAGTCCTTGACTTACGACCACAATTGAGCCCAACTTTTCCATTTAAAAGAAAGCAGTGGTTAAGTAAGTTTTGCCGCATTCTGCAACCTTTCTTGCCACAGTAGTTAAGCAAGTCATTGCAGTTGTTAAGTGAATCACATGGTTATTAAGTGATCCTGTCTTCTCCCATTAACTTTGCTTGTCAGAAGGTTGCAAAAGGTGATCTTATGACTCCAAGACAGTGGAGCCATTGAAAAAAATGTGAGTTGCCACGCTTCCGAATATTAATTATGTGACCATGCCATGTTGCAACTGTTGTAAATTTTGAAAAAATAGTCATAAAACACTTCTTTCAGTGCTGTTGTGATTTTGGTCATGAAATGAATAGTTGTAAATTGAGGACTAAAATTATGTACAGTAGAGATAGCAGCATTCAAGGTAACTTTAAAATAATACTTGCTAATCATATGAGCCTCCAGTACTAGAAGGTGTTGTTGAATCAGCATTCCGGTCATTACCAAGTTGGAAGTTTACAAAATTGATGGAAAAATCTACACAAATATGGAAGCAACAGAAAAAGACCCAGAAAGATTCTAACAAAATTATACAGGAAATTTGGAGAATACAGTGGCCAACAAAATGGAAAAGGTAAGTCTATGTACCAATATCAAGAAAGGAAAACTACAGCGTATTCAATACATTAGATTGAATTGTAATTTTCATGTTAGCAAAATAATTTTTAGGATTATGTATGTTAGAGAGCTACATATCAAGAGAAAGATGCTAAATGTTCATATTTGCTTCTTGTTCAGGGAACAAGAAACATTATAGCTGATCTGTGCTGGTTAATTGAGAAAGCCAAAGAACACTAAAAAGAAGCTTGCATGTTTTTCATTGATTATAGAAAATACTTCAACTGCATCAACTATGTCAACCTGTAGAAAGTGCTTAAGAAAATGGCAATCCCAGAATATCATATTTCCTTGTGTGAAACCTAAAGACTAGACAGGAAATTGCAGCCTGGATTCCTGCCTTTCACAATATGGCAAAATAGACTGTTCCAGGTTGGCAAACAACGAGACAAGGCTATATATTCTCTCTTAATTCCCCCCCCCCCCCAACCTATATGATGAATATATAGGAAGGAAGCTGAACTGGAAAATTAGTGTGGTTTTAAAACTTCAAGATGAAAAACCAATATATTGTTGTATGAAATGTCTTTGTATATTAGTAGTTTGGGTTGATAGTGAAGTTGTTGATTTGAGCTCCGAGCTTGGCGATTTGGTTGCCAACATTTCGTCCCCATTCAAGGAGACATAGTATAGCCTTTCTTGTCATTGTACATCATGTATACAACAAAATTGGTTACACCTTCAGTGCGCTCTGGATTGTGCTTGTCTGGGGGATCAGTGGTCTTTAAATATCTTTTTGAGTCCTGGTCTGATTTTTGGTTATACTATCATCTCATTCCTACTCCTTCTTTCATTAGACTTGAAATTCTCAGTTCCTGTAACTCTTCATTATATGGTTTAGCCACCAGTCCTCTAATCATTTTTATTGCTCTTTTGTGCACTGGAGTCTTTGTACTGACCAAAGCTGGATGCAGTATTCCAAGTGTGATATCTCACCAGTGCAATATAAAGTGGTAGTAACACTTCATGTGGTCTTGATATTATCCTTCTGTTAATGAAGCCTAGGATTGCATTGACTTTTTTGGCAGCTGCAGCACACTCCTATCTCATACTTGTCCACTAGGACCCCTAGATCCCTCTCAAAATTATTGCTTTGAGCCAGGCACCATCTGTTCTATACCTGTGATTTTGGTTTTTCTTGAATAAATGTAAAATTTTGCCTTTCAGTGTTGACTGTCAACAGCAAAATTCCAATATATGTCACAGAGTACCACTTGGTGCGATAGCAATAAAGACAATATATTTAGATGTCACAATGTGATTATACTTGCAGAGATCAAAACTGAATAGTCAGTGGTTTTCTCTATAATTCTATGTGGAGAAAAGTTGGACTTTGTAGAAATAGGATATTGATGCTTTTGAACTTTGATGTTGGAGAAACCCCTGAGAAGAGATGGATAGCCAAGAAATAAACAAATATAGAACAAATCAGTCTGGAGTTTTCATTTAAAGTCCAAATAACTAGGCTCAAGGATCATACTTTGGGTATAATTGAGTTCTCCTGAGAAGTCTATAGGGAGACGTAGTTTGGCATAATGGCTAAGCATCAGACCCAGAAAAGCAGGAGACCATGTTCAGGACTCGTTTTAGCCATGAAAGCCGGCTGGGTGACCTTGGGCCAGTCACTCTCTCTCAGCCCACCTCATAGGATTGTTGCTGTGGGGAAAATGGGAAGAAGAATGTGGGTTGGATATGTTTGCCACCTTGAGTTTTTTAAATAAAAATAATAAAGGTGGGATACATATAAATGAACAAAGGTGGAAAATATACATAGTAGGAAAAAGAAGGGAATGACCAGCATCAAGCTGGGTGGATTTGATTGCAGCAGCAATGAGTGCACTATTGGAAGATCTGAAAGGCCTAGTTTGAGGACAAATCATCCATTGAGGTCTAGCTATCTAGTCATTGAGAGTCAATACCAATTTGATTGCACATAATAAATCAATTAATAAAATAGTTTCCCTTTCTGAAGAACAACAACTGTGTTTCCTGATTGACCTGCACTGTTCAACAGCTAAACAAATATATTACACAATTGTAATTATACATATACAAGGATCAGGGAACTCAAGAACTTGTGCTGATTAAAATGTATTAAACTTACTTTGGTTTTTATTTTTAATACAAAATATTTTTTCTTGTACAAATATGGCTCAGATATATACAAATATAAGATGTAAGGAACCTTTTGAAATCCTGACAGGTGCCCACTACTGTATCTACCCATAATTCCAGCTACTTCGCTAAATCTATGTTAGAAGACAAATATTGAACAAAGCATACATATGTTTAACTACAATTATATTCTATTTTCTCTTATGCTGCTTCATGAACTTCATTGTACAGTTTCCAGTATGCCTCTGAATAACAGCCCAAAGTAACCAGATAATTCTGTTTACTAACCTTCTCACATAAAAAGCTGTACTGTAAAAATCAGGACAGTTAATAGAAGGCAGCAAAGAGTTAGTTTTCTGTATGCTTTTTGTGCCATTTATTGGCTGTTTGGATTTTTGCATCCCAGAGCTGTGAGTCTAAGCAGTTGATGCTACAAAATGATTTACTAGAAATGCATGTTTAACGGAATATTGACACTAATATATTAGTTACTGAGTTACCCTCTTAAAAGTAGCAAACACAAACGTCTTGATAACACATTACTTCTTTTATCTGAAAACAAATCAGAGATATTTCAAAACTATTTACCACATTATAATTAACTGATCATATTTCTCTCCTTTCTTTTGGGGACTGCTTTCCAGTCCAGCTAATCTCAGCATGTGTGACTTTCCCACTACATGTCACACTTTTACAAATATAGCTTTGATTAATAAAGGAAAGCAAATTCCTCTTGCAGCCAATGCAGCATCAAAGGAGCAGGTGAGTTATACATGGATTTAGACATTAACTTCTGAGTGCTTGCTTGCTGTGTGCCTTTATTTGAAGTTTGAGAAAGATGTAGGATAACAGTAGCCTTTAGTCAAACACAGTTTTATCAAACTCGACATTAAGAATATCTTTAGGAAGGAATACAAAAACAATCCTTTATTACTTAAAGCACCAACTGACTCATCCATACATTGGAACATGCGGAATGAAAAAATGTTAAAAAACTACAAAGATGATTTTGTAATAAAGTGAATAGTTGCAAATATTTGGTTTTTAAAACTTGCTTAAGATATGACCATTGCACAAAGTGTTTTATGAAGTCTTGCTAGAGTTTCAGGTAAACCATCTAATCTGAATTTCTAAATTTATTCATAATTTTTTGAGAATCTATTGAAAACAAATATGGAGCAAAATGAGTTTTGTGAAACTTCATTTCCATCGATTTCAATCATCATGTTCGATCCTCAGCGAACAGCTTCCATGTTCCGCTTTCAGATTTTTTTTCTATAGTTATTTTTAAACAAATTATAAAGCATGTGATTTCTTTAATCCCATTGTTTTCCTCCGCTATGTAGGTAGCATTAGTTTATTATTTACATCTAATGTATATCTTCATGTAAGAATATATATTTATATATTAATATTTATGTATCCTTGTGCAATTATTTCTAAAAAAAATTGCATGTAGCTATTAGCTAAATGCACTTTAATGTTCTTAAATCAGACTTGTGAATAGCAAACAAAGGCAGTCTGTTAGTTTCATGTCTTATCAGTGGAAATGTTTGACTGGCCATAGCTGGAAACAGGACTGGGCTAGACAAAACTTTTGGCCTCCTTTGGTAAGATCCTTCATCTATTTTTAGCACAGAATATTGTATAAGGGTGCCTTCAGGTAAACTATGCAAATCACTCAGAAAAGGTAAAGGTTCCCCTCGTACCTATGTGTTAATCGTTCGTGACTTTAGGGGTAGGTGCTAATATCTGTTTCAAAACTGAAGAGCCAGCGCTGTCCGAGGATGTCTCTGTGGTCATGTGGCCGGCATGACTAAATGCCGAAGGCGCACGGAATGCTGTTCCTTCCCACCAAAGGTGGTTCCTATTTTTCTACTTGCATTTTTACATGCTTTCAAACTGCTTGGTTGGCAGAAGCTGAGACAAGTAACGGGAGCTCACTCCATTAGGCGGTGCTAGGGATTTGATCCACCGAACTGCCAACATTTCTGATCGACAAGCTTAGCCTTTTAGCCATCGAGCCACTGTGTCCCTTTAAATCACTCATATGTTCCATTAAATCTGACTAAGGAGCTGAAATGTGTTTAATTCAAAAACAGCAAAATAAAATGTTATATATGGAAATTGGTCCTTGACTTATAACCATTTGCTTAAAGTCATAATGGCCTCAGAAAAAAAGAGCTTACAACCTGTCCTTGCACTTACAATCAATGTTCCACTCCCATAGTCCTGTGATCACAATTTGGGTACTTGACGACTGGCTTCTACTTAACAATAGTGTCCTAAAATTACGTGGTCATGATTTATGATCTTTTTTTTACTGATTTCTGGTAAAAAACCACCCATTGAAATTGAATTTGGTTAACAACAACATGACTCAACGACCAGGTGATTTGCTTAACAATCAGTCTAAAAATTGTTGTAACATTGGATCCATTATTGACTTACAGCTGCAGTTACCTACAATGGAAATTTTGATCACACTTGTGGTCATAAGTTGAGGACTACCATTACAATAAAATAAAATACATTCAGAGTCAATAGACTAACTTACCTTTGCTAATGGCTGAGCTCCAGTTTCTTTTAACTTTGTGGCAGCATCTTGAGCTTCTTTTAGTTCCTTAAGAATAAAGATAAAATAGAATTGAACAAAATTGCAATAATAAAAGTGATGGGAATTTCTAGCACTAGAAGGGAGGTGTTTATTTGCCTTAATTTACAATCAAACTAATGTATAGAACCAAGTTCCAATATAATCAATGATGTTCTCATATGTGAATTTTCTTGCACTTATAAAAAATTAAGGACAAAAGTATTTTACAAAAATATTTAACCAATAGATGTGTTATAAGACATATTTCAGTAACTTTTTAAAAACCGCAAATTAATTCATCTTGTGTTAATATAATGGTTTTCAATTTTCCCAATGCCGCAACCCTTTAATACATTTCCTCATGTTGTGGTAACCCCAACCATAAAATTATTTTTGTTGTTACTTCAAAACTGTAATTTTGCTACTGTTATGAACTGTAATATAAAAGACCGTTGGCTTACCTGAACGGTCGTTCTCAGGGCGCTGCGAGGAGACTCCAAGCGTGGGTTAACACAGTCTATCTGCCCTAGGACTGAGTTTTTTCTCTTGGCCACGCCTCCCTTTGCCTCCATTATTCAGTTTAAAAAACAAAGAACCACCGAGCAGGAAACCCGTTCAACAGTCACATCCAGTCATTTCCCTCGCATCCGCGAGGACCCGGGGTGGGAGTGGACTCTCCTCGCAGCACACTGAGAACGACTGTTCAGGTAAGCCAACGGTCTTTCTCTAGTGTGCTGCTTGGAGAGTCCAAGCGTGGGACATGCCCAAACTATAGTGTCCCTGGGTGGGGAGAGACCTGAATCTCCAAAGCCTTTGTGACCTTCTGTAGAATTCTTCGCCCCAAAGAGGCTTCGGCTGAGGCAAAGGCATCAATTTTATAGTTCCTGATAAATGCAGTGGGAGAAGCCCACGTGGCCGCTCTGCAAATGTCGAGAATAGATGCCTGGGTCACCCAAGCCGCAGAAGTGGCAGCGCTCCTTGTCAAATGCGCAATCACCTGCCTAGGAGCTCACCTGCCCTGATGTTCATAAGCAAGTTTGATGCATAGATCTGACCTGACGGAGAGAGACGCTAACTCGGACACCCGTCGTGCAGACGTGATGGCCACGAGAAATGCCATCTTGAGAGTCAGATGGTGAAGACTTGCTTGTCGAAGCGGCTCGAATGGCACCACCGTCAAGGCTCGAAGAACCAGTGGCAGGTCCCAGGATGCGTACCGGTGAACCGCACGGGACTGATGTTCGTCGCTCCCTTCAGGAAACTCTTGCCCTGTGCGTGTTGGCTCAAGGGACGGGAGGACCCTTTGATGAGGATGGTAGACAGGGCCGCGACCTGACACCGGAGGGTGCTGGGGGCCAATCCCCTGTCCAAACCCTCCTGCAGAAAGTTCAGCAACTGGGGAACCAAAACGGACACATCCCTTATGTCCTGTTTCTGGCACCAGGAAGAAAATGCAACCCAGGTCGCCTCGTATATCCTGGTGGTCGAAGGCCTCCTGGATGCCTGGATAGTTTGAATGACCTTGTCTGAGATCTTCTGCTTCCTCAGGAGCTCCCCCTCAAGTGCCAGACAGCTAGTTGCAGCCACTGAGGATCCGGATGGCGAACTGCCCCCTGGCAGAGGGATATCTATTCCTGAGGAATCCTCCACGGTCTCTGCACTGAGAGACCTACTAGATCTGCATACCAGGACCTCCTGGGCCAATGGGAGGAGACCAGGAGGATCTCCGCATCTTCTGCAAGTAGCTTGGACACCATGTGCAGAATGAGAGGTAGAGGAGGGAATGTGTACAATAGTCCTGGGGGCCATTTAAACCTCAATGCATCTGTCTCCTCCTCCCACTGAGAACGGTATCAGGAAAGGAACCATGGCAGATGTGTGTTGGCATGTGTGGCAAAAAGGTCTACTTGCGGTTGGCCGAATCTCCTCACAATCTGTTGGAACAGGTCCAGATGCAGTTGCCATTCTGCTGCCGGCTCAACCAATCCGCCTCCTGAGACCGAGATGTGGTCTGCTTTGATGGATGCAGGTGGTATTCTGCTACCTGCCCAGAGATTCTGTCTCTGCCATGAGCTTTATGAAGTGGTGCCGCCCTGCCTGTTTATGTGTGCCTTCGTGGCCATGTTGTCTGTCAGCAACAGTACATGGTGCCCCACAACCAGGCTTGAGAATCGCCTTAGGGCGAGGCGGGCAGCACTCAGCTCCAACCAGTTTATGCTCTGGGAGGCCTCCCTCTGGGTCCACAGTCCTTGTGTGAGTTGGCCCTGACAGTGAGCCCCCCTACCCGAGAAGGCAGGCATCTGAAGTCACCACAATCTGCTCGGGTTCCTTGAAGAGGCACCCCTTCTCAACCGCCGCCATCTTCCACCAGGCAAGAGACCGGAGGACCTTGGGGGGGACCCTCACTCGTCTCGACAAGTTGCTGGTCTTGGCCCTCTGCATCGGCAGGAGAAACCATTGTAGCTCCCTGGCATAGAGACGCGCCCAGGGAACCACCTTCAACCAAGAGATCATGATCCCGCTGTCATGTGATAGTGTGACGATCGGCACTGACCTGGATCTCCGACACTGCTGCACTCTGCGCCTGAGGTTCTGCAGGCGGTCTGGAGAGAGAAATACCTGACAGGTGAGAGAGTCTATGATCGCGCCTAGATGTTGGATGTGCGTGGTTGGCTCCAACTGGCTTTTCTCCAAATTCACCAAGAAGCCATGCAGACGCAACGTGCAAATGGTCAGCTGGACATCTCACCTGGCTTGATTCTGGCTTGCGGAATGATGATGTCATCCAGGTAGTATTCTAGACGAATTGGGTGGTTCCTGAGATGGGCTGCCACCACTGCTAGGATCTTTGTGAAGGTCCTGGGCGCAGACGAGAGGCCGAACAGCAGAGCCCGGTACTGGTAGTGCCTCCTGTCGTAGAAGAACCTCAGGCACCATCTGTGTGCTGCATGGATTGGTACATGCAGGTAGGCCTCCTTTAGATCTATTGATGTGAGAAGATCTCCCCACCTGACGCAGTCCAGAATGAAGTGGAGTGACTGCATCTTGAACCTTTTGTATGCCAGATGTTGATTTAGGCGTTTCAGATCCAAGATAGCCCTCCACCCCCCAGAGTTCTTGGGAACTAAGAACAGTATGGAATAGAATCCCTGTCTTTCCTGTTCCCAGGGCACGGGTTCTAGGACCCTGATCTGGAGGAGGTGGGCAATTTCCGCCTACATAAGGGACCTCTTCAAGGTACTCTTTGGAGTCGGGCACCGAATGAACGTCCTTTGTGGAAAGGACAGGAACTCTAACACCAGGCCCCTCCTGATCGTGTTGAGTACCCAAGAGTCTATGGTGATCTTCTCCCATACGTCATTGTATAACTGTAGCCAACCCCTATGGGAGGACCCCTGTGATGGTCACCTGCCCTTACAGAACTGGCAGGAATTGTTCCCACCCAGATACGGCTTCCGAAAGGAATGCTGCTGTTGTTGTCTGCCGCGTGACCCAAAGGAACCCCTGTCCTGACTACTATCCCCACCCTGGGAGTAGGATCTCTGATAGGCGGAAGAAGTGGACGGCTGGTTAGCATCCTGAGCCTGAAAGTACTGCTTCCAGAAGGAACCAGAGCCCTTGCGCTCGTTCTTCTTCAAGGTGGCTGGGAGAATCTTATGTTTGTCCTTCATTTCGATAACAAACTTGTCCAGGGCATCCCCAAAGAGCTGCCCCCCCCTTAAACGGGGCGGAAGCTAGCTTCCATTTGGCCTTCATGTTAGCTGGCCAGTGATGAAGCCACAGCAGCCAACGCGAAATAACTTTGGAAGCCAACGCTCTAAAAGCAAACTTGGCGGCGTTCAACGAGGCATCCGCTGAGTATTCCACAGCCGTAATAATCTTGCTGAGGTCATGCTTCCACTGGGATCCCCTGGTGGGAGGCCTAGCCCTCAGCTGCCTGAGCCAAAGAAGGGACACCCTGATGAAGAAAGAGGCCGAGGTCTATGCTCTGATAGCCTAGGCGGCTGCCTGGTACATCTTATGGCAAGCCTTCTCAGATCATTTATCCTCCCCCTTGAGACCCTCGCTCTGTCTGCTGGCAGGTTCGAGCTTGATTTTAAGAAAACCAGACTTCCGGGGAGGGACTTGGCCGTCGGCAGCGGCTTAATTGAGCCGCTCCCAGATTTCTGGTTCGTTATCTAATTAAACATCCTTTAGATAACTCAAACTTCAGACAAAGAAGATTGTAGTGAGCGTCTCAGCTGGTAAGAACTTTTCCTTGCAGTTTGTGGCTTTTTTTTTCTGCTGCAAACGAGGGGGGGGGTGTTGTTTTTTTTAAGCTGAGTCATCTCCGGCCAGATCTCTCTGCTGTACTAACGGCACAAGGCCAAGACCCCCCCTTAGGACAAATTAATGAAATTATTTTTTTTTCTTATGAAATTAATACAAGCAGAGCTCATATTTGAGAACTTTACGTCTGTTTTTTTAGAAACTCAAGCTTCAGTGTCAATTTTTTTTTTTTTTAAAGATGGCGATTCTCCAGCCTTTGTATTTGCAATGATGATACATTCCGGCAGCTTTTCTAATCAGCTTTTCTAATTATTCCCTTTGAAGAGACTTCCTTATCTAATTAAAAGTTTTCAAAGGCCCTTTGCTGAC